ATAAGATAATTGGAGATAGGAAACATATTAGATCCAATAGCTAAAACTCCAATTATAGGGCTGGGGTTGTGGCTCAGTGATAGAGTGCTTGCTTAGCATGCATGAGGCACTGGGTTCAATCCTCAACACCACATAAAAATAAATAAAATGAAGATATTGTGTCCATCTACAATTAAGAAATATTTAAAAAACTCAAGTTATAGCCAATTATTTAATAGAATGTATCATGTGCTAAAGCAGCTATCACAATTAATGGAAAAAAGATTACTTGATGTATCAAGAGGTGATTAGGAACTTGGAATAATTATGTACATATTTATAACATCTATAGAAATAACTGAAAAAACTTTGAGATGAGTAACATGGGGTTTTATCATTATTAACACCTTAGGAGGTTTGGAATTGTCCCAGGATAATGCTTAGCACATGGTACTCAGGACATATTTATGGCATCCCTAGTCATGCTCAGTAAATATATTTTAAACAAAAACTAGAGTTTCTTTTCCCTACCTTTCTTAGGAAAAGGTTTAACCTTTAAAGCACTTAATGTCTCCCCAGAGAGGACAATTAAAATTATTTTCTACATACTTCCTTTCCTCTGGTGTTTTCCAAGGGACTCTGGATGATTCATTTTGTCCAGAAAATACCATCAAGTTCAAAGTCAGGGCCTGTATCAGTCAGCGCTGAGTGGCTATAACAAAACACTGGAGGCAACTAAGAGCTGGTTTATTTAGATCACTGCTTGGGAGGCTCACATCTAACTACTACTGTGTTAGTAGTTTGGGCCTCTGGTGGGGGGCTCTAGGTAGCACTGGCAGGAAGTGTGTGTAGGAGTGAGCAGCCACATCTTAAACCAGGAGGCAGAGAAAGAGGAGAAGACTCACCATCTCCTTCAAAGACACCCCCCGCCCAATGACCTAAGGCCCTCTCAATAGGCCCCACCTCTTAAAGGTCCATGCCACCTCCCAACACTGCCAAGCTGGGGATCAAGCCACTGATTCAAATGATTGTGCAGCCATTTTCCTCTTAGGTAATCCAGTTTTGTTATACTTGGCTGACATACCCAATTTTTCAGCATTTCAAGCAGAAAGGCATTTAGCACAAGTAACTAAGTGCTTACAAAACTGTTGGAAGGATTGGAAGAAAGGAATCCAGGGAGCTGTCATTGCAGCTGTGACAGCTTAAAGGTCAGACAATTGCTGCTGTCCTGGGTCGTGGAGCTGCAGGGGACATCAGCGACCACTGCTGAGGTCACAGCCATGAGCAGGTGACTCGAGGGTGACTCGGGGAGTCCAGGCATTACAAACCTTCCTGTCAGGTGGAGTGTGAGTGTCAGGTCGTTGGAGCCTCCCTCTGCCTCTCTTCCGCCTTCCAGATATTTCCTGATCTCTTACATCATGTTTCATTAGCTGAACATGAAATGCATACAGAACCTTAGCAGCAAAATGACCTTGGCAAGCAGATTTTAGCCTTCTGTCCCTGTGCGTGGGGGGCGGGAGGGATGTGGAATAAAGGAGGTGTTGGAGATGGAGGCGCAGGGCAAATGCAAACCCCCAAGCGCACTCTAAGCCACCACAGCTCTTGCGTCTCCCTTCTGGCCCCAGGACAGCCCTGACCCACAGGAGGCTGGCTGGGCCAGGGAGAAGTTGGGCAGGTCCATGTCTTCCGCTGCAAATGCCACTTTCATGCTTTCTTATCTAGAAGCAGAGACACAGATGCACACCCTTATTAAGGGACTCTCGGTGGACACGGGCGCCAACCTCATGGGTTGGACTCAGAGCTGTCCTCGCTGTGCTAGTTTGCCAGGGCTGCCGTGACGAAGGGCCGGATGGCCTGATCAGTGAGCTGGAGGCTGGAGCCCGAGCTCTGGGTGGCTTCTCCCCAGATGGCTTTGCTGGCTCATCACCGCTGTCCTTCTCCTGGGTCTCCGCGTTGTCTTCCGTGGGCCTCCCGCTGTGAGCTACAAGGAGTTGACATGGGCAGGGTCTCCACCAAGGCCTGACCCCACCTCCTCCTGTGGCCTATGCATTAGTGGCGTCAGCCTGTTTCGGGATCAGAGATGATTTATGTAAACTCCTTGGCGCGGACCGTTGGCCCGTCGGATCTGCAGGTTCCGCATCTGAGGATTCAACCAAACCTGCATCAAACAAAGCAAAACATCTTTGTCTTCTTTTTTGGTGCTGAGGATTGATCCCCGGTGTCTGAGGATTCACTGCACGAGGGCCCCGTGGTTGGTGGCTGGCCAACCCTAGTGGTTAAATACCTCGAATCCTCCTCTTAGAAAAAGGCACAATTTATTGTCATCTTACAGATGTCGGAAGTGAGGGCTCAGAGAAGTTGAGTGACTGGCCAAGATCACACAGGCAGAAGTAGAAGGGCCAAGACTGGGATTCAGGTAACCTGGTCCCAGGGCCAGTGCCGGTTCCCCGTTGTACCACCCAGACCCAGAAGAGGGACTTGATTCAGAAGAGCCACAGGTGGAGGCCAGTGGGTTGGGCTTTGAAGCACCTAGGACTGTTCTCAGGTTTGGATCAGGGAAGGTCCCAGTGTCCCTGAAGTCTGTGGGATCCTGCTACGTCCCCCTGTGGAGGAGCTGCTGTGTGCTCAGTCCCTGCTCAGAAACTGCGAGGGGTGCTGTCCAGCCTGAAGTCTGGGCTTGGGACTTGGACTCCTGGGCTGTCTCTGCCACTCTTTGTCCCTCCCTGGGAACTTGTCACTCCTGGGGAGGCAGGCCCTGTGCCTCAGCCTGCAGGACAGTGGCAGGCTCAGCCTCCTTCTGAGGAAGGCCAGCTCCTGCTGGGCTCTGCTGAGGGGCTCTGGTGGCGGCCTCTGGCCTGGGACGTGGTCTGGGCCTCACGGTTGGGGCGTCTGTGAGCCCTGCAGGGTGGTGGTGGCTTCAGGCTGGTGCTGGGTCCTGACAGTGCCAGGCCCTGGGTGACTCACGGGCCGGCTGGTCTCGCCACTGGTCCCCACTACTCTTCCTCGGGTCTTGCCAACCTTGGATCTGGGCTCTGCTGGGCTTTCTGTTGTTGACTGAGAAACTCAAAAAGGTTAAGGCCCAAGTGAGATCCATTGGTTTGGGAAGAGCCGAATCTCACGACAGGAATTTACAAGCCGTGGTGAGTTACGGTGTGCTCAGAGCGGCCGGGGCCAGGACTGGGGCCGGGGCTGGGGCTAGGGCTGGGGCCAGTTTTGAAAGGCGATAAATCAGGATGAATTCACAAGATATTTTGACCACCTGGGATTAATAACAAGGGTGATGTCAGCCCAGGGCTGAAGGGACAATTGTCTGCAGCGGAGTCTCTGGTGCGGTTACTGTTAGGCAATCGTGTGTGAGAATCCCCCACTGCGTCTCCCTGGCTTTATTTGTTTGATGGGGTGAACATAAGTGACGCCATTTTGATTTTGACTATTTCCATTGGGCCAAACTTCTCTGCCAGGTTTCTGTTCTTGCGACTAAAAGGCTCAGGGGTCACTCTAGTTAAACTGGGCTAACTGGGCTGCACGAAATAACCACACAAGAGACACAAATACCTTTTTCTTTGGGGTTGCCGTGACGGCTCCTCTGACCTTAAGGGTCCGCAGAAAGAGAGAGAGAGAGAGCACGCGCTGACCCCTTTTATGGAGGAGAAGCTATTCAAATGAGGTAAGGGGTCAGGTTTCAGGGGGCTGAGTCTATCTTCATGATGTCCACTGTCAGCAGGTTGACTGACACCTGGGTAGGCCACACCCAAGGGCACAGTAAGAGGAGGGGACACACACAAGGCACTTCCATGGAAGATTCTATCCTAAACAGGGCAAGGGGTTATATTACAAAGGAACAGGTGAGCATAGCTTCACCCATGGGGCTGTAGCAAGACACACCCATTTCTGTGACTGAGCGCCTCAGCACCCAGCTGGGGAGTGTAACTCAGTCACTGGTAAGGTTGGCCTCCCACACTTCTCCAGTGGCCAGAGTGGGCAGCTGAGTGGCTGCACTGAGCTCCGGACTGTGGTCGTGGCTACCTGGGTGGCTCTGGGCGCAGATGGGTGCACTGGTCCTTCCCATCCTTGGGTGAGCTGGCCCCTGGTCTGTCTCTGAGCTGCAGCAGGGACTTGGCTCTCTGGGCTGGGCTGTTTGGGTGCCTGAGCTGGGACAGGCTCTCTTCTGGACAGAGATGGCTTCTGGGCTCTGACTGAGCCCCTGGCTGAACTGGGAGGTGCTTTTCCTCTACCGAGACTTGGTTCCAGAGCCATGGGCTCAGGTTTCAGGTGCGAACTCCATGTCCTGGGGGAGTGGACATGTTCTCACTTGGCCTACGATGTCTTGTGAGATCAGGGACCATCCCACATGTGCCCCTTCCCAGATGGGCTGCCCAGATCCCTGATAGGACAGTGGGGCAGTGGCAGGACTCCATGTCATTATTCCTGCCCAGAGTGGGGCCACAGGTGGCAGCTGGCATCTTGGGTGACTTTTGCTTGTGACAAGGGGTGTGTGTGAGGAGCCCTGAGCACTGGGGTTCAGGTCTCCAGGGACTAATGAGCCCTTTCCAGGCTGGCCCCAGAGCTGCTGTGACTGGGGCAGGGCGAGTCCCTGTGTGAGAGGCCACCCAGAGCCACTGTGTCCTCCCCGGAGAGCTGTGGTTTCGGCAGAGTCCCAGTGGTCAGAGGCTGTGCCCACTCACATGTGGTGGCAACGAGCTGCTTATGCTGAGGAAGATGTAAAGGTGACACAGACTTTGGTGCCACTTGCTATATTCAAACACGAGGAGTCCCCAGAGCTCAGGTGTGAGGCAGGAATGTTCAGGGTGAGACGATCAGACCCGGCTCCTCAGCAGTGGATTAATCCATTTGATGGATCAGGCAGTTGGAAGGACTAGTACTGGGCGGTGACTGTGGGTGGGTGGGGTGTGGCTGGTGGAGTAGGTCACAGGGTTGAGCCTTTGGGTGGCATGTTTTGTCCCTGGAGAACTGAGTCGCTCTCTGGCTGTCATGGACTGAGAGCTGCCCTCTCCTGCCAGGCTCCTCCGCCATGATGTCCTGCCTCGTCCTGGGCCCAGAGCTATGGAGTCCCCGGACCACAGACGGAGCCTCGGAATCCAGGAGCCAAGGTAACCTGTTCTTCCTCCAGGTGGTTCTGGTCAGGTCACAGTGACAAAACCACCCAGGCTTTCTATCACAGTATGGGCATCCCACCCACCAGAACAAGGTACTGCGGTCCCCGCGGGTGACAGCCCAACGTGAGAACCGGCCTGCAGCAGCCCCCAGGCTCAGCCCCCCGGGTCCCCTCAGGGAGCCTCCGGTGGCCGTGCTGTTTCCGACCAGGCAACGTGCGCACGGTCTCTCTGAACAGAGTGAATCACAAAGCCATCGAGAACCGGATTTTAAGATTGCTTGTGCGCTCTGCGTGGCCTCTGGGTTCAGGCCCAAGACACAATGCACAGGGCCCTGGAAACAGGGTGAATGCAGGCGGGTGACCAAAACCACTGGGAGGGCTCAGAGAGCACCCAAGTGCCCACCTGTGCTTCCCCAGTGAGACCCCCTCAGGTGCTGTGTGGTTTCCGAGAGTTCCTGGGGCAGGTGGAGCTGAGGGGTTCGTGGTCCATAAGACTTAAGCTGGTGGACAAGTCGAGCATTTGCCAGGAAGGCCGGTTGTTCTTATTTCCAGGGTCAGGTTTTTAACTATTTTTTTTTTAAATCAGGGATTGAACCCAGTGGTGCTTAACCACCGAGCTGTATCCCCAGCCCCCTTAGTGACAGGGGGGTCTCACTAAATTGCTGAGGCTGGCCTCCAACTTGCAATCCTCCTGCCTCAGCCTCCCAAATTGCTGGCCAGCCTGGCAAGTTAGTGAGACCCTGTTTTAAAATAAAAAATGAAAAGGGCTGGAGATGCACCTGGTGAATTTTAGCCATTTTAATGCAGCTAGAATCTTGTGTGACCTCATCACCATCCAACTCAGGGCCTTTTTTTTTTTTTTTAACAAATCTGCAACTGTGCTCCCACCAAGCCCACCCGCTCCTGCTCCCTCTGCCCCTGGCCACCCTGTTCCCTTTTCTTTCTGTCTCTGTGATTTTGACTTCTTGAAGAGCCGCATCTGAGTGGATCATCAGCCTTTGTGTTTTGTCTGACTTTATTCTTTGGACAAAGACTGACAGATGATGGTCTGCAGCTCCGCGGATTTTATTATATCCTAAAGTATTTTTCCCCACAGAAAGAAAAACATGTTTGAAAAGAAAACTCTTTGATTTGGGTTTTGAAAAGATCACTGCAGGAGTGGAGGAGGAAATGCCGCCGGCGCAGGGAAGAGCTGGCCCCGGGCCTGTGGCCGCAGAGCCCACCTTGGGCCGGGAGCAGGAGAGCTGGCATCCGACAGCGGGCGATGGAGCCGAGCGCAGCCTCCCCTTGCCCAGAGGGGGAGGCCCGAGTCTCCTGGCAGCCTCCAGAGCCGGCAGAGCAGAGGACGAGACGCAAGAGCAGCCCTGGGCAGCCCTGGGCAGAGGGGCACCTCCACGTGGGCTCTTCTGCCGGCTGTTGCAGATGGCAGGTGCTGTGACCTTGGAGACGTTCCAGGGAGGCTGGGACGAGCCAGGCTTGGTGACACATGGGAGCCAAGCACCTGAAAGCCCAGGGGACTATACAGTCACAGGGAGGTCATTGGCCAGCGGCTGTCCTCATCCACTCGGGACGGGCAGGCGCGGCCCTCAGCATTTTGTTCGTTCCTGGCACATCACACACCCCCGCTCCTCACGGAGACGACTTCTTCTCCATCCCCCCGGGACTGGGGACTGAGCCCAGGGCTGCTCTGCCCGGGCCGCATCTCCAGCCCCTGTCATTTTTTAAGACAGGGTCTCGCTAAGTTGCCAGGCTGGCCTTGAACTTGAAACCTCCTGCCTCAGCCTCCTAAGCTGTTGCTAAGCCACCAGGCTGTGGTCTTTGCCATGGTGTCCCCGCTGTCTTCGGTGTGGGCACCGCCAGGCTCATGGAGGGGGACGTGAACGTGGGCGTTGGAGCTGCAGGGCCAGGCTGTGCCACACCCGGCTCTCCTGGCCCCGGAGGCCTCACAGGGCTCACTCAGGGCTCACTCACCCGCTGCCAGACAGGCGGGTGCCAGGCCCATGGCACCTGTCGCCCGAGACACCCAGAGTGGGGACTTTGCAGTGCTGTCTTTGAGCTTCCCGGCAGAGGTAGCGGTGGGGACAGGTACCCTCTCCTGTAGCCCCTCCAGCACCAGGTGTTCCTGAAGCCCCTCCCCCTAAGGCCATCTGGACCACGAGGTCATGGGCGGGCCCTGTGGGTGCTGGGCGGGACTTCTGGGTGCTGGGTGGGCCCTGAAGAGGCCCGTGCCTATGTCCCACGTCCTGTTCGAGCTGTAGGACCTGCTGTTCCCGGGCGGGCAGGAGCCATGGTTGGGGCTGTGCTGAGATGGGCCTCCCAGCTCTGTGACGGTGACAGGGAGGGACATCCTTCTGTCCCGTGAACTCCATGCTCATGGGCATTGCTGCTGCCCTGCTGGCGCCTGCGCTTCCCCCTCCCCTGCCTTGGAGGATGCAGGGCAGCAGAGAGAGAAATCACAGCTGGACTCCAGGGCCCCAGGGAGAGGAGTGTCAGTCACAGCTGGCAGGTGCCTTGTGTTCCCCTCCCCCAGAGCTTGGCTTCAGCACCTCCCTACCCAGTCACCCCCAGTCTGTCCGTCATTGCAGGATGACACGTGGTTATAGCCCCTGCCCCATCTTACCAATAACAAAATTGGGCTCAGAGAGGTTGATACACTCATCCAAGGTCACCCAGGGGGCTAGCGTCGTGGCTGGACCCAGAATACAACCAAAGTTAGAACTAAATGACAGTTTGGGACTGGCTTATGACACTGGTCCTGGTCATGCAGCAAGCTGGGCAGGAGGAGGTCACCGTCCCACTGAGAGAGGGGAGGGGCGGTGAGGAGAGGTGAACTGGGTCTCTCCCTCCATCTGGCTTTGCCAGCCTGACCATCCACATGGTGCTGGTCCTGCAGTCCCTGGGGGGCACCCAGCCAGGAGGTAGACACCCAGGGCCTGGCCGGACCATGCACAATAATTGAAATCATTTCACAATTGTCTTTGTCACAACAGCATAAACAATACAATAACAGTGGAATCCAGCAATAATATGAAGTGTATTGTGCCAGCCTGAGGACCAGGACTACGTCAAGGCCAGCTGTGGACGTCCAGCCACACGTTGGTGGCTGTAGGTCCATGTCTTCCTGTTGACCTCAGGAGGGCCCCTGCACGCGGCCAGGCTTACCAACAGGACACCCTTGGGAGAGAGAAGTGCACTTACCAGGAAATTCAGCCCTGACCCAACGTGTCATTTAACGGATGGGTGGAATTCGCTCAGGTTTTCCCCAGTGCCATCCGCCCGGGAGGCTTTCTGTCCCCGTGGCCTAGCATTCACTCCGCGGTCCCAGCTGCAGTGGCCGTCTCTCCTCTGATGCACAGCGAGTTGTCCCGTGGTGTCCCTCCATCTAGCTTTGTCAGCTGTTTTCTTTTTCCCTTTATTCATGTTTTCCTTGCTGGGGACGGAACCCAGGGGCTCTCAACCCTGAGCCACAGCCCGGCCCTTTTGATATTTTATTTAGAGAGAGAGTCTTGCTGAGTTGCTTAGGGCCTTGCGAAGTTGCTGAGGCTGGCTTTGAACTTGTGATCCTCCTACCTCAGCCTCCTGAGCTGCTGGGATTATAGGCGTGCACCGTGGTGCCCAGCTTGCCTGCTGTTTTCGAAAGCTGGATGTGTGTTTCCGGTGGAGTGAATCCTGAGGTCTGTGTCTTTTGCTTGAATCTTTGAAAAACAAACAAACAAAAACCAAAAAACAAACAAACAAACAAAAAACCCCCCCAAAACCCAAACTAATCGCAAAGATTAAAACCTGAGAGATTGTCTGCTTGTCTTGACTTCTGTGTCCTCTCATGGACAGAGAGCTCTGCCCTGGGCCCCTGGACTGGGATCCTTCAGGGAACGGTCCTGCAGCTGGGTGGTGGGTATCTGAGATGGGGCAGGTGTGATGGGTGCCGTCCCCCCTCATCGGGGTGAGTCCTCCTGGACATGTAGGTGTTGATTGTGCAATTCTCTTTGGGTCTGACCCACCCAATTCAGAGGCCATTTTAGAGCCCCTGGGAGGCAGAGGAGTGGCCTCTGGGTGCACAGCTGGTCCATTCACCCTGGGGCTTGGCCTGTCTCCATTTTGTTAGTGGGATAACAAGGGGCTGGGCTCACGTCTTAACAAGTTGTTTTCAACACCTGGCCAGAAATCAGGCGTGGTCTATTTTGGGGCAGTGGCACCTGCTGGTGTGTAATTCAGAGAGCTGTCTCTGGGCCTGTGGGCCTCTGTCTGGAGAGCTCCCCAGGTGGCCCATCCACCTGCAGCCTCAGGTCCCTGCTGTTCACCCCTGTGAACACTAGGTGGCAGTGGTGCCCTGCTAATAACCCAGAGGCGCCCGGACAGCTGGGCAGAGCAGCGGCCACTGTTCATTTCAGGTCACCCCAGGGCTCTGAGGGAGGGGACTTTCCTGTGGCCCTGAGCAGGACGAACTGTACTTTCTCACATTGTGCAGACAGCTGGGGCCAGCCTCCCACCTTGGAGTGCCACAGTGTCCACTCCACCCCTCTCCAGGTCTGTGGGCTCTGGTGACAGGGAAGGAGCGTGCTCCAGGTGGACAGCTTCCCACCCTCTGCCACCCCATCCCAGTTCCCTGTGGCCCTGTCACCATGGGAAAAGACACAAGAGGGGATGAGCCAGGACTTGCTCAGAGGCACCCGGGGGAGTGGCCCCCACATCCATCACTACAGTTTGCATTTGGAACATCCCTGGAAGGCCCAAGTGCCACAGGCTTGGTCACTGGCCACGGCACTATTGGGAGGTCACTGGACCTCTGAGATGCAGGGTGCGGTGGAGGGAAGTTAGGGCCATGGGCATGCCCTGGGGAGGGACAGCAGGAAGCCAGCCCCTCTTCTCTTCTCCTTCTCTTCCTGGCTGCTGCGAGGTCGGTGACTGCTCCCTCTTGTGCCCCCATCATGGGGCACGGCCGCAGCCACAGGCCCAAGTGGCAGAGCCAACCCACCATGGACTGGAACCTCTGAAACTGGGAGCCCAGACAGACCTGTCCTTCCTGTAACTTGTTTGTCTCAGGTGTTTTATTACAGTCACAGCTTTCCCAGGTGGCACTGTCTGAGCGCAGCCCCAGGCTCTTGGGGAGCACTGTGGGGACCCATGTACCTCCCTGTAAAGTCGGGATGGTGATCACTGCCTTGCCCACCTCAGTGGGTCACAGGAGGGATTCACAGCTAGGGTGGGTGCCTACAGGAGGTCCCACTGTGGCTGTCACAGTCCTGGGGCACAGACCAGCCTGTCCACGGGAGCATTCCTGCCCATACAGGGAAGAATTTGGGTCCCCTTAGGTCATGCAAGAGGCAGAACAGGGCCCTTGGGTGTCCTCAGGAGTCTCTGGAGTCCGTGGACAGGGCAGTCTACACAGGACAGTGCAGGAGTGTTGATGTTGAGGACCTTGAAATGCGGATGTCACCTTGGGCTGTCCAGGGGCGCAGTCCCGGGTCCTGATAAGGGAGTGAAGCAGGCAGGAGAATTGAGACAGAGTAGGGTGTGATGGTGGATGGCAGTGTGGGGATGGACAGTGAGAGGCAGAGCTGATGGTGACCTGTGGCCGGCCCTGAAGGTGGAGGAGGACCAGGAGCCGGGGACCAGGGAAAGCCAGCCGCCTCCAGAAGCTGGAAAAGGGACAGAAATGGATTCTCTCGCCAAGTCCCCAAAGGAACCCAGCCCTGCTGGCGCCTTGGTTCTAGAACTTCTGCTCTTCGTAACTGTTGGAGAATGGATTTGTGCTGTGTTAAGCCACCAAACTGGGGGTTATTTGTTACAGCAGAGACAGGAAGCAGATACCTTGCATTTCTCTTCCCGTGGCCCCTCATCTCACGCACTCCCTCTCTGCAGGTCTCAGGTGGAAGGCACCTCCCCCACCTCGCCGTGCTCTTACAACAGGGTGGCAGCACTGCTGTGCCGTGACGGGTTGAAGTTTGCCTCCCAGTTCCAACGTCAGCCCCAAGTGCACACGGCAGGGCTCTCCACAGATGGTCTCCGGCCTGCAGCACAGTGCTAGCCTTGGAGAGGCTCAAAGAACGTGTGTAAAGCACACAAAGAATCCAGCTTCCAATGGGGCCCACCCTCATCGTGGGCCAGGCACTGCTGGGAGTGGGGACTGCGTGTGGGGTCCCACTGCCACTTTCGGGAGCCAGGATCTCCAGGGAGGCACTACCGGGAGGCAGAGAAAGCTTTAAGAGGCGAGGCCTGTTGGGAGGGCTTTTTTTTTTTTCTTCTTGGTATTGGGGGTTGAATCCAGGGGCACTTCTCCAATGAGTCACATTCCAGCTTTTTTAATTTATTTTTTAAATTTTGAGACAGGATCTCACTGAGTTGCTGAGCCTGGCCTCAAACTCACAATCCTCCTGCCTCAGCCTTCTGAGTGGCTGGGATTACAGGTACACCTGGCCAGTGGAAGGCCTTTAGGTCACTGGGGGAGTGTCCTTGAGGGGAACGGTGGGCCCTGTCCTCCCTGTGTCCTGGTCCACCATGAGCGCTGGCCCTTGCCATCTGCCCCCAACCCACTACTAAGCGAGAGTCTGTCTGACTGTGACGGAACCTCGAACACCAGGAGCCCAATAGCCGGTTTCCCTTGAGGAGCTGATTAGCTCAGGGAGGTTATGATAGAGACCAAAAGTCGACAAGCGTGGGGGTCCCACCCAGCAGGACTCCCAAAGGTCCTCTGGGAAGACAGCTGACCTCAGAGAGGAGGGCTGAGCCCTAGCTGGGCCAGGGGTGGGGTCCAGGGACGGGAGCGCTTCTGACAGCCACCAGGTGTCCCTCTTGGTTCGTGGAAACATGGTGGGGCTCCTGGGCTCAAGCTCCGGAGCCTGAGCCTGGCCGTCCCCAGGGGCCTGCCGGGTCCCACGGATCAGCTCTGCAGTGGGCACCTTGTGGGTGTGGTTCTGGTTTCTCATGATGGTCTGGCCAGGCCCTGCCCTCTGCTTGGCTGGGCAGCTCAGCCCGGAGTCCCCTAGCGGGGGAGCAGCGCCAGCCTTTCGCGCCAGCCTGGTCCTGCGTCAACGGGGTCTGGGTGGCTGCCTGACCCCTGGCTTCAGGATCGGGGTGGGCCAGGTGTGAGCAGGCCCGGCACATCGCCAAGGCTGGTCCCAGAAGCGGGCGGGACAGTTGTCATCTGAACGTCACAAAGCTGCAGGGGCTGCAGGGGCACCTCCGGCCTGTGGGGAACATGAACTGCGGAAAGCAAAGGTCTTTCTGGTACTCGGACGATCAAACATTATAAATGACTGACCCGCAGAGGGAAGCAGGGCTGTGGTTCCTCAGTATCATTTAGACGAGTTGTTCCACTGTGCCACCTGGAGCTCGGCCCCTCCCAGCCCTTCTCCCCACCCCACCATCCTCACCAGGACGGCCAGCGGGAGGGAGCTGGAGACCCCGGCCTGCCACCTCCGCCTCTTCTCTCCCCCTGCCTCTCTCTGCCACTGCCCAGCTCCGGGCCAGGACGGGGACGTGGTGCTGTCCCCTTCTGCTCTAGAAGGACTGGGCTCTGCCCCTGCTGGACAGATGGCCCAATGGGCGGTGCATGTTCAGCCAACATGGCACCGGCCAGGGGACCAGCCACACAGCAGAGCTGCAGTCGGTGGGCGCCAGTCCTTCTCCGGATCTCGCCTTCTCCATTTGTTGCTCTGTCGGTAGGAAGATGGGGAACATTTTCAAGAACCTGCGTCTGTGCAGAACAGGAGCGGCGTCGCGTCTTCCTGGCCATTTCCTCCCGAGCATCACAGCCGCCATTCACATGGCCTTTACCCAAGTCATCTGCAGACCGCTGGCCGCAGCAGGAGGGAGTGCCCAGGCCACATGCAAACACGCCCGTTCTGCCATAGGGACAGGGCACCTGGGGACTTGGGGACGTGTGGGGGAGGGGTCCTGGAATCAACACCCCCGGAACACGGAGGGGCCACCACATGTCCCACGAGTCGGTGAAGGACCAGCATGTTTCAGGTGGTCCTGTGCTGGGGGACCTGATGGGGAAGACCTGTTCCTGGGAGAGTGGGGAGGGGAGGCCAGGGCTCCTGAGACGGGGGCAGGAGGGAGTGAGGTTCCCTGTGGGACCTGGGGGAGGAGCCTGGTCATGTGGGGACCTGGAGGGAGCAGGAGGGACATACGTGCAAAGCCCCAAGGCAGGAGGAGCCCGGTGGAGGGGGGCAGGGCTAGGAGGTGGCACGGGCTGACTGTGCGTGCGCAGGGCACATGGGTGTGTGACACCGCTGAGGTTTACTCCCTACCCTTGTCCCCTCTGAGCCACCGTCCTACCCCTGACCCCTGCTCTGAGCCTCTGTCCTACTCTGTCCCTTCTGAGCCTCCGTCCTACCCTGTCCCCCCTGAGCCCTCCTGACTCAGCAGCACAGCCCACCCCTGGGGTAGAGGACCCTGCTTTCCTGCCGGCTCGGCCCACTCTTGTCTGCGTTCTGGGAGGGTCTGGTGTTTCTGGGACCCTCTGGCTGCCTGCACCATGGGTTTCTGACTGGCCTGGGGCTGGGAGCTGCGGGGCTGGGGCGAGGCCTGGTGCTGGGCTGGGCTTTCCCTCGGGCCTCGCCTGTTTTCCCACAGAGAGCCTCTTTTGTCCTCCCCGTGACCTTGACCAGCTGGTGCCTTTACTTTCTGCTGTCTTTGTGGGCAGGTGGCTGACCCCTGGGGAGGGGTTAGGGAGGTGGACATGTGTGCACGTGTGTTGTACACGGACAACATGGCCCTTGGGCCTTGGGCGCACGTGTGTGAGTCTACATATGACGTGGTGCACAGTGTGGCCCTGTGTCCTCGTAAGGCTGTGTGCACACGTGCGTGTGATGTGGGGGTGGGGTGGGCCTCCTGCAGGGCGCAGGGAGCTCAGGGCACCTGCAAACTTACCCAAGTGCCCAGGACCGTCTCCAGGTGGATTCTGTCCCTTGCATTTCCTCCAGGGCTTGGGTTGCCTGAAGGCCGCCTCCGGGTCTCACTCTGTAGAAAAGATGAAGCATGGACTCTGAGATCAGGCACTTGGAGAGCACTGTCTTGGGAGGCGGAGGAGCACTGTGTGCCTGGGGCGAGG